CCTATTTTGTCAATTGTGTAGTGATCACAGGAAAAACGTTTTTAATTAAAAAGTTTATTTTGCCATTATGAAACAAACAAATTCATATTACCAAAAGAGAAAATAAATATGACACTGGTACAGTGGTTCATGCCCATGATCCTGGCACCTTGGGAGGCCAAGGTAGGAGGATTGCATGATCCTAGGAGTTGGAGACCAGCCTTCGAAGCGAAACAAGTCCCTGTCCCTACAGAAAGAAAAAGTTTTAAATGGCTGGATGTGGTGGCTTACGCCTGTAATCCCAGCAATTTGGGAGGCTGAGGCGGGCAGGTCACCTGAGGTCAGGAGTTCAAGACCAGCCTGGCCAAAATGGCGAAACCATATCTCTACTAAAAATACAAAAATTAGCAGGACTTGGTGGCACATGCCTGTAATCCCAGCTACTTGGGAGGCTGAGGCAGGAGAATTGCTTGAACCTGGAAAGCAGGGGGTTGCAGTGAGCCGAGATCACGCCATTGCACTCCAGCCTGGGCAACAGAGCAAGACTCTGTCCCAAAATAAATAAAGATTTGCTGGACATGGTGGCACGTGCCTATAGTTCCAGCTACTGGTGGTGGGGGCTAAGGGAAGAGGATCATTTGAGCCCAGGAGTTCAAGAGTGTAGTGAGCCATGATCGTACTACTGTGCTGCAGCCTGGGCAACAGAGTGAGATCCTGTCTCTCAAAAAATTAATTAATTAATTTAAAAAACCTTGAAAACCCATATCACACTATTCTACTTCCCTTGTTCAACCTGTAGATTTGCCTGGAATGCCACACTTCACCCATGCCATCCCTAAAAATGACTTGTTTAATTTCTCACTTTTCAGATTAGCTCCATTATTAAGACTTGTGTAGAGCCTGTCTGTGGGTAAGAGGAAGTAAATCAGAGATATCAGAACAATCAAGAAGCCATTGCAATAGCCCTTGAAAGGAAACATGATTAGGTAGTAGGCGTGTGGTGGAAAGCAGACAGACGTTTCCGAGACATTGCTGAGGTTGCTATAGATGGGAGAGCGGAGGTAGAGGATAAGAATAATTGATGGCTGAATCTAGAGTCAGTACAAAGCAATGTAGAAAATAATTAATAACACGTAAACACCTTTTCGGTTTTTTTGGAAATCTTAATTCACTGACAAAGTTCTCCATAGGCCGCCGGCCCTCTGTCTTTGCATCTTTTGATTGACTGTGCTCAGCATTGCCAGCGAGCTCTTCACACTATCCCTGGGTCTGAGATAATCAACTGTGTTTCCTTCATGCTCTGATGCCTCAAAGTTTGGTACCATCCTCCTAGTTTATCTTGTTTAAAAGCGCGGAGATACTCGTCTAAAAGATGGGCGTTAAGATCGTGGTGTGCTTTTAATAATGTGTGGCGTAAGTCCCTCTAGAGGCAAGGATACACTATGCTTGAGAAACTTTCTCTTCATTCTGAAGCTTTCCCTAAAGGACATAGCTTGTAAATGTTTGTTCATATGAAAAGGGAATATTTGGGTACCTTTTCTGTTCTGCTGAGGTGAGGGGCTATTTTTATTTTTTGTTCCTTGCTCTTTTTCTGTACATGTGATTCAAAGGCGCCAGACTGATTTCCCTCAAGGCCGGTGTCCCCAGTGTATCCCAAGAATAGAAAAAGTAACGAGAGGCAGCAGAGCTGGCCGTGTTTGAGTCCAGCATATTAGGCTGTCCCACTTTGGAGGAATATTCTCCAAAGCATCACATAGAAGATTTTTCCTTAGGAATAGCGTCCATCTGTTTTCATAGCTAGGAAGACAAAACCATGAGAAGCCATCAAACAGCCACTGCGGTGTTTTGGTATACAAGCCATAGTCACTCATTCTCTCTGTGGGGGAAAACTAGAGTGTTTTTCCCTCTTCCACCTTTACCTGTCAAAATTCCATCCTTGAAGTTTGGGCTCAAATGCTTCTTTCTCCACAAAACCTTTCCTGAGCCCCTCTGAATGTGGTTTTCCTCCCACATTCCATAACACTTTCTTCTAAGACGTGTTACATGCTTTGCCATGTGACTATTGCATGTAGGTAGCCTTGACTGTGAGATGCACTGACATTGTCTAACTCATTTTTATCACCCAGAAGCAGAACATGGTTGTGGGCCAGAGTAGATAGTTGAGGTTGAATAGATTGACCATCTCGAAGCTTATCTTTTCAGCCTGACCTTTAAGGCTTTGCTCCGGCTGTTCCCTCTAAGTCAGTGATTGAAGTTTGCTCCCAGATCCGCATGGGTAGCTATCAAACTCTCCATAAGCCATGTAGGCTCAGGTTCTTAGATTCCAGATACTACACTTTGGGCATCATAGTCTCAATCAAAATTGCTACTTTTAGCTGCTTAGTAGACTGCCATGACCAAGAGTTTAATATTTAATGTGAACTACTTTTGGAAGGGCCAAGTGTGGCCCACAGATCCCTCACGGCCCCTCGTGCACTATGTTGTGAACCTGCTTGACACCTAGAAAGGGAAAGAGTAATATAGAAAAATAATTTTGTTGACCTGCCTACATTTAACAAATGTGAAATATAAAATTACAGCTTTCACAGGAATCTAATACGCTTTTAATAGTCGTAGGGATTGGCAATCCACTTACTCCTAATCCCCAATTCGTTTTCTGTAACGAAATGTTGTCAAAGGGTGGCATGAAGCGATAGAATTTAAGCATCATTTTCAAACAGAGCACAGTTTTGTGTGTGTGGTTTTGGTTTTTTTTTTTCTTCAGAATAATTACAAAAATAGTGCCATAAGAAACAGCTTTGTTACTGTTGGCAGGAAGGTCCAAAATGTTAAAGCCATCTTTTATCTTATAATAAAAACAGGTACAAATTCACATTTAAAGCCTGCCACAAACAAATGCTATACACAGTTTTTTCATCAAATATCAAGACTTTTAATAATATCAACTGTAGTGGTGTATCAAGTGTAGTATCACGTCTTTATAATGATAACAACTGTAGTAGTGACAGCTCAGTTTCCAATACTTTAACTCTTTTTCCAACACTTTTGGTGTTTGTTGCTGTTGTTGTTTTTGAGATGAATATCGCTCTGTGGCCCAGGCTGGAGTGCAGTGGCACGACCTCAGCTCGCTGCAACCTCTGCCTCCCAGGTTCGAGCGATTCTCCTGCCTCATCCACCCGAGTAGCTGGTAAGTTATAGGCAGGCACCACCATGCTCAGCTAGTTTTTGTATTTTTCATAGAGACAGGGTTTCACCATGTTAACCAGGCTGGTCTTGAACTCCTGATCTCAGGTGATCTGCCACCTCGGCCTCCCAAAGTACTGGGATTGCAGGCATGAGCCACTGCAACTGGCCTTCATATTTCTTATTCCTTAGGGGGGAAAAAAAAAAAACCTAAGATGCATACTTCGGGTTATATTTAAAGACACATTCAAATCCCACAACATGATATAAAGAAATACTTTTCAGGGCCACAACTGGAGAGAATTAGACATAAATTTACCTTTTTTCTCTCACACTGAAACATCTAGCCCTCTCATATTTAAGTGTGAAACGGCTGTCAATCCAATACAATGGAGGGCTGAAGGCAGTCTTCAGTGAGAAGTCTCTCCATAATGCTCCCTCACATCAGATCTGTATTAATCCAGATGCACAGAACTGGGAATAGGCAATACAGCATTGTGGTTAAGAGCATGGACGCTGAAGCTAGACTGCTCAGGCTGGGGGTTAGTTAGCCATTTCTGTGACTCTGTTTCCTCATCTGTAAATAGGCATAATAACAGTACCTGCATATAGATTGTTGTGAATATGAAATGAGTTAATATATCTAAAGCCACTAGAAAAACGTCTGACATATGAGAAGCACTATGTTTGCTATACCTTACCTATCAAAGCCTACGGCTTCTGGCTGACATTCCCAATGTTCTGTAATTATTAGATAGGACTTTTTTTAACTTAGCAGAAACAAAGTCTAAGAAGGGAAACTAGATGTAGACATGGCGTCTGGCTCAAGATTCCCATGATGAAGCCAGATAGAGATATGGATGGCAACCAGCATAATGCCTCTCACTGACATAAATATTTGTTTGAAATAATATTTTATTGTTATCATTTAAAGCTTACTGCAAATTTTAAAAACTGAAACCTGATGTCCATATGTAGGCCAGATGCCACATTAATCAATTTAAGAATGCTGGAGCTATGCAGAATATTGCATGAACTATGCAGAATATTGCATGAACAATGAGAACCGTGGCCCTGAGAGACTTGAAACCCTACAGTATATGAAACTATTGCAGGATGTGGGGATGTTCAAGGGAATAACAGACATGGAAGAAATGCTCGCTGAATTTTGATATCTTAAAGGGTGTCAAGTCCAAAAGAGAGATTTGTTTCATGAGGTCTCAGAAGGCAGAACTAGAACAATGGGGTAAGCAGTTAGAATGAGGAAGCATTATGGCTCAGTAGGAGAAAGAACCTTCTAGCCATCAAAGCGATCTAGAAATTAAAGGACTGCCTTGTGATCTGCCTGTTGCGGAGGACTGGCTGCAGAGGTTTTACAAACAGGGCTTTTGTGAAAGGAACTAAAATTTGAGTTTGGAGCCAATTATCTTATATTCTAACTGGATGCATAGAATCTCCAAGAAGAAAGGCTTTTCTGTACTGTTTTCTAGACCGTGCCTTCCACTCCAAACATCCTGAGTCATGTTCCTTTTATACTTGCATGTGAGATTAGAGCGAGAGCACTGGCCTCAAAGCCAGAGACCGGGTTCTACCATTCCTTTCTGGAAGAACGTAGGCTAGGAGACACAATCTCCTCAACTGATTAATGTAAAATCCCCGCCATGCCAATCTTGCAGAGGATTGGGTGCCTGTGCCGGTGATCTTGCTGGTGTTGTTGACGGCAGGACTGGGGGTTCTATTTCTGCTGACGTGATGAATCTGCTCTCTCCTCCACTTCAGCTTTAGCAGGACTAAAGTGTTCTTAAGTGTGTTCTTATCAAACCTTTTTTTTTCTTCAGGCCGCTGTGCTCGCTGTGGAGAAAACGTCGTGGGGGAAGGTACAGGATGCACTGCCATGGACCAGGTGTTCCACGTGCATTGTTTTACCTGCATCATCTGCAACAACAAGCTCCGAGGGCAGCCGTTCTATGCGGTGGAGAAGAAGGCATACTGCGAGCCCTGCTACATTGTAAGTTCCAGATTTGTTTCTCAAGTGCTTTGCAAAGACGTCTTCTGTGGCTGAATGCCAGTCACTCCAGATAGAAAATAGCCATCAAATCTTTACTTCTTCCTAGACTTCAAAATGTGTGTGTGTGTGTTTGTGTGTGTGTGTGTGTGTGTGTAAATTGGCATATTGTAATTTTTTCTGCATATCCCCCATTCATATGAGGTCAGAAAGGTGTATTAGGGCGGGACTGCCATTTAGAAGATCATCAGCCTGTGGCTTTTGAGCATGTATATACAAGCTAAAATTTTCTTCCTTGAAGTATCAGAAAGCTTCCCAAGTAGCTGAGTCACACCTCTTATAAGAACTTACCCTGCATTTCAAGTCCCAGTATTTTCAGGGAAACTTTACAGAATCTCTGGACTTGTCAGTCCTCTTCCAGAATACTGGACTTTTTGAGTCACCTTCGTCTACCAAAATATTTCTCACCCCTCTTATCGAGCCGGTTTTTAATGTTGCAAACAGAGGAACTGTTTATCATAAAGCACCTTAAAGAGAAATAGCAGTAATGCCGAATCAGCTTATCATTGTTTTCTTTTATTACAGAACACAAAACTTTATCTTAATAATATACCTGGGTAACTGAAAAATTCTCGGTCATGTTACCTTCGTGTTTTGCAATGCTGCTTACTTAATCTACCTGTTAAACTATCCTCTGATAGGGCAATTTGATGAATAGAAACTTTTATCATCTAATGTAAATTTCTTTGCTATTCTTCAACATGATTTTAATCTTTGTTTAACACATGTTGATGGGAAAAGTAGTGTGATTGTTTGTTTGTTTGTTTTGCAAACCCACAAAACAGTCATGGTTTGGCCCTCAGTGCCCCGGGATTTCAACATAAAATAAACCTTGAGTACAAGGTATTGGGAGTCATACTTTGCTTTGCAAAGTTCACATTTATTGAAGAAGTGTTTGGCCTGGTTAGTATTTTCCTATAAGTTGGCAGCTGTAACTCATTGTAACCTTGGGATCTGTAGCACAGACCTGAAAGTCCATCAAGATTAAGGCTTTGTAGGATTAAATATGGGTTTTCATCTCTCTTAGGTTCAATTTTATTTCATTTTCTTTCAAAAGGTGACTTAAACACATGTAAAGCCATACAATGATAGAGCTGGAAAAAAATCGTAAAATAATTTGCGTAATTACTCTCTTTAGCAATGAGAATGCCAAGACATCGAGAGGAGGAAAGTGACTTCATATGACCTATCGTTAGTATCAGAACCAAGGCTACATTCAGTTATTCACACTCCACAGTCTTCTATTCCATGCAGATGCTACATGGTTTTAGTTTTCCTAAACATAAAAAAGTAATATGCTGTTGATCTGGAAGGAGAGATATGCATAAAAGTAAGTCTAGTAAACAAAAGCTTAAAATCTTTATTGAAAAAAGAAAGGTGTTACATAATTCCTGGCCTTTTTAAACAGACTAAACAGAGTGTCATTCACAATGAGTTGGGACCGCGTCTGTGAAATTATTTGTTGCCATGACCCCTCAGGTAGTGATGTTGGCAGAGTGTATCGAGGCACCCAGTGGCATCTTTACACCAAGTAAAACAAACTGTTGTGGGGTTTTTTTATAGCTCTTGTGTCTATTTTTTGTCTCTTTTTGACTCCATTGTTGATTTTTGCTATTTTAATGATGCTCCTGTGGCAGCCTTCTTTAGCTCTTGTTAGTAGAAATCATACAGTATTGGGAAATAATGTAATAGGGTGGGAAGAACATGAGTTTGAAGTTGGTTCCGTCACTTAATGCTTCATCTCCTTGGGAAAGTTATTTACTCTAAGAATCAGTTTCTTCATCTATATAATGGGGATGATGGCAGTTATTTTCCCCAAAGGCTCATGAAGAAGAAATGAGATGATCCTTGTAAAGCACAGTTGGCCTCTTCAGGAAAAGTAGTGGAATAAATGGTATTCTGGGATTAACTTTAATAGAAAGTTTCTGGACCTGTTTAATATTTCTGAATGTGGGAACCTTACCTGTGCAATGAAATTCACTGGCCTTAAAGAAATTATAACCTTTCAGACATACTCCTCTCCCATTTTTAAATGTTTGCTTGCTTTTCTGAATGTGTAATAAAACTGGAGAATGTCTATTCTGACTAAATAATAGGTTTCTATAGTGTGTGGGCTCAAGTTTCTATCTCCATTCCAGGCATAGGATGGGTCTCCGTGATTCTGTAGGATGCCAGCCCTTTATTCTTTGGTTTACTGTTACTATACTATGCTTATGACAAGGAAAACTATTTGGGAGATATTTAATCACATACTTGGAAGAGCTGAGTGAATTCAAATAATGGAAATTCTAACCAATTTTTTTTTTTAATTCTTTCCCTCATAAGAACATTTAATCACAGTTTTCCTTTAATGAGATCTATTTGTGGTGACTCTAAAATGTAATTTAATTCTTATGAGAATTTTCAGTTAAGCTTTACTCAAAGACCCTTGTTCAGTATTGATTTGAGTTCAGCACAGCCCTCAAGCCCTCAGATGGATGTATCAGAACTTTAATTTCTTCTGAACTTTGTAAGCCCAATAAGCTGCATACTAGAAGTGTAAAGAGGTTGAGGAAACTGAGCAAATAAAATAAAACAAATTTACTTTGAAGGTCGAGTTTGCAGTAAGGAGAATCCTCGAACTGTGTGCCTCTCTTGAAACCAAAGGCCTTAGAACAGGAAGCATTTTCTGTGTGATCCAGCAAAATTGCCTTTGGTTACACTGTAGAAAACTGATGTCTAAAAGGTATTTTACATAAACCAGAGCAAACCTAGCTGTTGGCCATCACTCAGTGTGGCTGTCTTTCTTTTTTTCATTATTGATGGAATGAGAATATTCAAGACAGTGGCTTACTGTATAAGGACCACCATGTTTGATACTCTGAGTTCAGAAATGAGACCAGTCTAGTATAAATTAAATTTACTTCTGCCTAAATTGGTTGTTGATCAACTTACAATCCTATTTAAATTACATATTTACATGATATTGAGGGAAAATGCACCAATAATGTCTTCAGCTTTGGTTCAGTGATTTTTAATATTTTCCTGTGGTTTATTGAGTTTGTTCTTAATACTTGTGCTTAAGTAGGTATGAATAAACTAGTTTGATTCCGTCAAGCATTGTAATTCTCTTTAATCATTTTACATATTTTATTTTCTATTTTTTATTAACCTAATACAAATGTTCATAACACACTTCATTTTAAAACCGTTTGCCAGTCAAAAGGTATTGTGTGTTTTCCAAACTTTTAGAATTATATATAACATGCTGATAGACAGTTGAATAAAATTTTTATTTTTTATTTTGAATCATATCCTTAGCATAAATTCTTTGATTTATATTACCAAATCAAATTTAATCTGGAGGACTTTTGCGTTACCTTGCTAGATTTCTTTAGAAATATTTTTCTAATTTACAGAACCATCAACAATAATGAAACCTATGTTAAATTGCAACCTGTCCCCTATGGGAGAAGTTTATTTATATTTTCTGAATTACTATGATAAGCACATCATGTCATAGTTATTTTAAGTTTGTGTAATTATTAGCAAAATCAATGAGATGCTTTTCTTCTCTGATGATATGTCTCTTGAAAGCCTAGTTTTGATTATTCTTATAGATTTGAATATGTAAACAGATTAAAATAAAGATTACTAAAACTTCGTTGGGAAGTGATATCAATAGAATGTATTTATCCTAATTCTAGCTCTCCTGATGTGACCTTGGGTAAGTCATTTAGCTTCTGAGTATTGGTGTCCTCATTTACTAAAAGGAAATATCAATTTATTCCTTATCTTCAAAGATAAGGAATAAGCAGTTGTGATATTTTATATACATGAACTTGTTTACTAATATAAGTGCTTAATCTGATTAATAGCACTTTTATCATTTTTTTTTCCTTTAGTATAATGTGATACAATATAGACATCCTCTAAATCTGGGGCAATTTCCTGGCTGTGGTTGCTATGGAAATACTGAAATAAATAGATGTCATGGAAGGAATATAAGGGCACATATTAGAAGAAGAGGTTCATGCTTTGCTTAAGAAGATTCTTATGTTGGTATGAGTATGAAGGACAGCAACACTACCTCCTGTTTAAGTACCCTTCCGCCTATAATGAGACAGCCTTATTCATAAGTATAGTTTTAGCAAAAGAATTGCTGTTTTATCCCTAGCATTACCAAGGAGTCTGAGCCTAGGACAAAGTGCATCAGAAATTCTCAGCAAAAGTCTGTTTACAAAGTGGCAGCCAAGGATCCTCCGCTAAACCAGTGCTCTTACTCAGAGTGGATGGAACCCAGGTCCTAACTCTCCGACAGCAGAAGGTGGTACAGATGTTTTTACTAGAGTTGAAATTCAAATGATTAAAGGTCCTCCGAAAATAGGAGGCCAGCTCCACAGGAGACTAAACACTTTAAGGTACCTGAACTTGGCGCATTAGTGACCTACACACCAACAGCCTTTTGCTCCCTTATGTCACCACGTGGCTACAGTTAAAACATTCTAACTTTTCAGCCTACATTAAGAGGTAGTTTTTGTACCTCTGCAGGAAAGCTGTTCTTTTATATACTCAATTCCTCTTAATAAAATGTTTTAAAAGCATCTATGGCCAGTGCTTTATGTGAACATTGGAAAAGAAGGCAAGAGTTTGGACTAAACCTGAAAAATTCACATGAACTTTCCACCTTTCTTTTTCTAATTGCCTACCTCTGCTCTCTCATCTCCAAGGAGTGTTTGTCTGTGCCTCTTGTCTTTCTCTTTCACACAACATACCACACACACACACACACACACACACACACACACACACACACACATTTTCTTCTTGATGTTACATCATCATTTCACCAGAACTCTCTCAGGAAGGAGAAAAGTGGCTCGAGAAAGAGAAAAATTTGTCAAGCACTCTCTTGAAAGGTTAAGCATGTTACCTACTGGGAATAATACTTATCTCTTCCATTC